TCTAACCTGCCCCTCGCCTTGGAAGCTGGTTCCTGCAGGCTATATAATTAGAGCACCCTCCCTGCTTTCTATTGGTATTTCCAATGGGAAATACTGGCCAGAGAACACAAGACTGGAGAAGAAAGGGTTGAAGTTATACTTTCCTGGAGCTTCCCCCACTCTTTCCAGCTTCCTCATTTTTCTAGTCACAATGGCATTTTGTGGTTACAATTCCAGTTGGGTAGCCTCTCTCGCTGTACTCCAGCCCTTGTTAGTTTCCCTCAGTTAGTACCATCCCTCACCCCCTCTGGTTTAGGGATTCTGAGCTGCTGCTAGTCTCTAAGTTAGTCCTCTCTGCAGGCACATGCCTCTGTAAACAGTCTTCTCGTAATACCCACCGTCAAGTGGCTGGACTACACAGCACTGGGTGTATGTAGGGAAATTTCCACAGAGGTTTAACTGAGGCTGCAAGACCACCCTGGATGTGGGGAGCACCATCCTCAGGATGGGGTCCTTGACTGAATGAATTAAAAAGTGGGAGGGAGGGGGGATGGACATTCATTTCTCTTTAGTTCCTGACTGAAGGTGAATGTGACCTCTTCCTAACGCTTCTGCTGTCATGACTGTCTCCTCTAAAACTGTGAGCTACAATAATCCCTTCCTTTCTTAGTGTTATCAGTTATTCTGTCACTGCAATAAGAAACTAATACAGTTGGTTTTGAATGTGCCTTCTCTTTCTCTGCTTCTTTTGAGAATTCTAATTGCCCCTAGCTGTAGAAAGTACAACAGTTTGGATATAGTTTGAGTATATATACCCCAATGTTTCCTGTGTTGAAATCTAATACCCACTGTGAGGTATTAAGAGGATTAAAAACATGCCTGTGTTATCAAACTACTCAGAAGGCCAAAGCAGAAGAATAAGAGTTCAAGGCCCAGATGGATTTAATGAGACAAAATAAGAGCGAGTAGCAACAATCTGACTGTGCCATTCAAAGGTGAAGCCTTTGAGAAGTGATTTGGATTAGATAAGGTCATCATAGTGGAGCCATGATTGAACTCTGGGCTTACAAGAGGGAGAAGAGTTGAGTGTGGTGGTGAATGTCTATAATCGCAACACCCAAGGGAGGGGAGGGCCAGAAGCAGGAGGCTGTCTAGACAGCCAAGGCTGAAGTCTTGAAAATTCAAGGGCTGGACTTGTGGCCCTGTAGGAGAGCACCTAAGAGCAAGGCCAAGTAATCCTCAGCAACTCGAAACCTGAGGGAAATGAGACAAGGTACACATCAGTGTGCCCTTCTCTCAGGGTATCCTGCCAGCAGGAAGGCCATCACCAGGTGTGGACCTTCAGAACCCTCAAAATAAAATACCTTTCTTTTCATTTAGAATCTACACAGCTTGCGGTATTGTGCTATTCACAAAATAAACTCACTAACACCAGAAATGTATCTGGAGGATTTAGGGGCAAGCTTAAAGGGACAAAACATGTATGTCTCTTCTGTTGCTGACACTTCCTCCTCATGCACACACCCCTCTGATTCTTTGTGCAGATGAGTAAGTAGACAGTCATCTAATGCTGTTACCGGGTGACATGTTTTACCAAACACTCCTCTGTTGCTCACCATAATTATCTGTGTCTGTGGATAAGCTACATTCCTCTCACCATCTCTCTCATTAGATCCCCAAATTCCCTCTTTAATTCCTACATAATACAGAAATGACTCATAGGCAGGAAAGTCAACACAGTCCCTTGTTAGTCTCAACTGTAAAATGGGACCATATCAATCTCACAAAGAGGACCAAATTAGAAAGTTAAAAAGAGGCCCAAATGAGTAACAGAGGCAGTGCTTTGTATGGCAGATGCCAAATGTGTATCTAATGTCTGTATCCTTAGCTGAGTCAGCTCAGCCCATTATACTAGGATGTGTAAAGAGGGAAAAGGGGGGCCTGCCTAGAATTTCTAACCCCCCTCTGCCAATTCTCAAATTGTGTCCCTAGCATCCCATCCATTCTCCACTTCTAATTAATGAGAGATTTCCTTTTCTGCCACTTTTTCATCCTAAGAAGCACAATAAGGTCAAACCGTGGCATACTGTTATTTATTGGGGGGGGTACCATGGCGAAGGAGTGGAGGTCTGTGGACAACTTGTAGGAAGTTGAGTCTCTCCTGTCACCATTCAGTGGACCAGGCATCACACTCAGGTAGGCAAGCACCTTCACCAGCTGAGTCTTGGACCTGTGGTTCCTCTCTTCTGCTAACTCCAGACCAGCAGCTCTCAAGAAGCCCCAGAGACCGCAGAAGACTTGGTGTCATCTGTGTAAGCTTTCTCTCAGATGAACAAGGGCTTCCAAGATTAAAAAATGAAACCTCAGACATAACTCCCAGTCGTAATCTTTTTGGCCTCTTTGCCAAGGACCTTTCTCTACTTTATTCAAATACTTTGTATCCTTTCCCCATGTCTGATTCTCTAAGATATGGAAACAAGACAATCTTTGTGTATTTCTCTTTCCTTTCTTTCCCAGGCACTAGGCCTGGTCTCCACATCTCTTTAAGGCCTCTGGGGAAGCTAACTACACACCTTCAATGGTAGAGTCATTGAAAGCACATTTCACTGGCACCTGACCCAACAGCTATAGTACTTTCAATCCCTGGAATCCAAAATCCTAGGAGACACCGCAAGACCAGTAGCCGCTAGGATGGATGAAGTGGGCCACAAACGCTGAGCAGGACCGAGTCCCAGGAAGAATGCCTAGCACATTGAATTGCTAAGGGTCGGAGAGGAGCTAACCTCCCAATTGGTGACGTAATTTCCTTATGAGTGTTAAATGTTAGGCAGAGAGAATATACATACTTGAAGATAGCAAAAGCCTGGAATGGTCTTACCTGAGACTGTCACAAAGTTCCCTCCCAAACATCATTCCAATCTGAGGTTCAAGTGTTTCCTCATTAAGAACTTCCTTAAGAGCTGAGAGATGGCTCAGCAATAAAGAGCTCAGGCTGCTCTCCCAGAGAGCCCAGGATCAATGGCAGCTGACAACTGTCTGTAACTCTGGTTCCAGGGGATCTGACACCTCATACAGATATACATGTAGGCAAAACACCGATGCACATTTAAAAAAAAGTAAATTAAGAAAAAACAACAAGAATTTTGTTAAAATTGGGTCACCCCAAGCCTAAGCCTGGGGCTGTCTTCTTTCAGCCACCTCATTTCCCAGGAAACCCATGCACATCAGGGGTGGGATGGTCTAAAGCAGGAGCTCCAGGACAGCCAGGACTACATAATAGAGTCCCTGTCGCAACGAAACAAAACAAAAGAGAACCCTGTGTGTCACTCAGACCTGCTTCTTACTGACTTAGAAAATTATGATTTGCATACTGAGACCCTAAAGCGTCACCTTTATAGCAACAGGCTAGTAGTGGGCGCATGTTCGGGGAGTGTATGAAGTTCAGATATACAAAGAAGGCTGTTACAACTGTACTCACAATGGAACACAGCAGAGCACAAACAGCGAATAGAAGGCCAGGAACCAGTTACCCTCAAAGCCAACACATTCCAGCGGACATCTTGGGGGAGTTTAAGAACTCCGGAGAAAGAAATCGGCCTTCCAGATTATTATGAAGATATAACTGTCTAGATAAAAGGGCAGGGACACTATATAACAGTTTGGTTGTTTTGTTTTTTGAGACACTGTGTAGCCCATGTTGACCTGGCACTCATATTGTTCCCCCTAACCTGCAGAATAGCTAGGACCACAGGCATGCCTCACTCAGTAGGTTGACATTTTTAAGTATACAAACCTATATGTGGCCTTCAGTGGTATTATTGGCTCAGTCCCTGCAAATACCACAATGTACCTATCCCTGACCGCTGCATAGAAGAGCACCACCTTTGTCACTCGATTGTAACCCAGTTTCCCCTTAGTATTTGTCATCGGGCAATCTACATTTACTTGTGTGTCATCCTTTAGACCCAATGCAAGTTCCACACCCCTCAGTTTTTTATCGCTTTATTCTTAATATCTGGTGCATGACTGCTACCAAGACACCACTCAGTTTCTGTTGAAGAAAATGAGTAACCAATCTCAAGAGCTCCCTAAGGGGTCACGGGGAGGGTCTCTCTCTCTCTCTCTCTCTCTCTCTCTCTCCCTCCCTCCCTCCCCCCCCTCTCTCTCTCTCTCTCTCTCTCTCTCTCTCTCTCTCTCTCTCTCTCTCTCTCTCTCTCTCCCTCCCTCCCTCCCTCCCTCCCTCCCTCCCTCCCCCTCTCTCTCTCTCTCTCTCTCTCTCTCTCTCTCTCTCTCTCTCTCTCTCTCTCTCCCTCCCTCCCTCCCTCCTCTCTCGCTCTCTCCTCCCTCCCCTCCCTCCCTCCTCTCCCTCCCTCCCTCTCTCCCTCCTCCCTCCCTCCTCCTCTCTCTCTCTCCTCCTCTCTCTCTCTCTCTCCTCTCCCTCCCTCCCTCCTCCCTCCCTCCCTCTCTCTCTCTCTCTCTCTCTCTCTCTCTCTCTCTCTCTCTCCCTCCCTCCCTCCCTCCCCCCCTCCCTCCCTCCCCCTCTCTCTCTCTCTCTCTCTCTCTCTCTCTCTCTCTCTCTCACACACACACACACACACACACGTGGGTGGGACAATCCTCTGATAACTTCATGGTATCTCACAAGACACCTGAGGAACAAAAGGTGACAGCAGAAACCCCATGATCACCTTCATACTTGTGAACTTAAGGTTAGTTGATCAGAGTATTTGAGAGAAACATAGAGGTGTGGGACTGTCTGAATAGGTTTCAGGGAGGTGCAGGGTCTGGGTTGTGGGGAGTCGCCCCCTGGTGGAATCCACCCAACAACCTCGAAGGTGGTGGGATGTGAAAGCTAAAGAAAACTTTGCTTCCACGGCAAAGTTCCCAGCCGACTGTGGGGAGGGGAACCTCGTCCGTGGGTAGGAAGACCTCAAGCACTAGCTCCCTAGACTGAATGGCCACTGGCCTCCCGAGGCGTGCGTACTTCTGGCTCCTGAGGGCCTTGACAATCAGTCTCCTACCTCGTGGCTCTTTTCTCCCACCTACTTCGAATTCCCACTGTCAAAACTGCATGAGGGAGCCCCCTGGAACTTTCCAGGAACAAGATAAACCAGTAACGACCATTCCAACGGACTCAGCTTCCTTCGGATACGGGGGCCGAGAGTAGCCAAACGCCGCCCCGGCCCCCGCAGCGACCCCGAGCCGCGACCTGAGGCTCCCCGCACCCGTTTGCGGACCTGGCTCCGCGGCCTAGATCGCTGGGGGCGGGGCGGGGCGGGACCGGCCGGCGCCGACCTCCACGGGGACCCGCGCTGGTGGCAGCTCACCCGCCGCCTCTCGGGAGCCCGCGGCCGGCAGGGGCGGTCCCGGAGGCGGCGCCGGCCTCGGGGCGGAGCCTCGTAGCTCCTCCCCCTCGCGGGCGGAGACCGGGGGATCGCGGAGGCCTCCCGGTACCGACTGGTCACAAACTTGGGCGCCGTGGACGTTCCAGCCGCCTAGGATGAGGAGGTGCGGCCGCCACTCGGGGTCGCCGTCGCAGATGCTTCTGCTGCTGCTCCCGCCGCTGCTGCTGCTCGCGGTGCCCGGCGCTGGCGCGGCCCAACTCTCGGTTCTCTACTCGTCCGCAGACCCGCTGACGCTGCTGGATGCGAACACTGTGCGCTCGGCTGTGCTGGGCTCCAGTAGCGCCTGGGTGGTGGAATTCTTCGCCTCCTGGTGTGGCCACTGCATCGCCTTCGCCCCGATGTGGAAGGAGCTAGCCAACGACGTGCAGGGTGAGAAGTGGAGGCCTCCCCCGGCCCACCCGGGCAGGTCTTGACAGCTGTCCCGCTAGCCAGTCCCCTCCCCTCGCTGCTTCCTTGGCCCATCGCAGTCCCTCCCCTCCCCCATTTCATAGTTCTCCTGGGCCCCCGCATTCCCCAGTCCTCTGTTCTTGGCTTGTCCTCTGTCAAGCGTGTCTCTAAACTGAGAGGGGTTTCCTTGTTCCCTGTGCTCTTCCCTGGGGCTTTCTCCAGTCCAACTCTGTGGCAGCACTCTTCCTTGTCTAGGGACCTCTTCTTGCCAACTCCCCTAGCTGTCGTGGTGGAACAGCGATGGGGAGAAAAGAGAGTTGACATTCACTCCGCCGCCGCCACCACCTTTCTCCACCCCTATGGCTAGTTACATAGTTGGCACACACATAGCCTTTCTCATTCCTGTCTTTGAGTTGGATGCTTTCTTGTTTGCCTATTTCTAATCCAGGTGACTGCCTCTAGCTCCTTAGCTTCCTGTCCACATCCTTATCTCTCTTCCCCTTGGGTCTGGGCTCACTTAGACCTTAACCTTTAACCCCACAAAACCAAACTAAACGTAGCCCTGTGGTATGTAGTTGGCCCTTGCTCCGTGTTCCAGTCACTGTTCTGGACATTAAGACCACGTTTCTTTGATTCTAAATTGCCAATTGTGGGGCCCACTATTCAGTTAATTACAGCCTAAGGGGCAGCAGCAGGATAAGAAAACCACAAAATGGGTAGAGATTTTTAAGGTGTGCTGTGTTGTAGCAATTTTAAAATATTTAAAAACTTAAGACTTAGAGCTGGGGGGACCTGGTAATAATGGTTATATATGCTGAGTGCTTAACTAGGAAACCCTGTACTGCAGATGGGACAGTTTCCTCTCTGCAGCTTAAAGGCCTCTGCTGTAGCAGACATCTTCCTAACCCAAGCCACGGGTGTCTGGGGGAAAGGGGGCAGGAGTGGCACAGTGATGAGCACTGGTTTCTGCTTTCCCTGCTTCTCTGTGGAGTGTCCCCTAGTTTGTGGTGCCAGGCAGGGCACCAGCCACGCTCTTAACCTGAAGTAATCATTGGATGAGAGTTGCAAGTATCTTAGGGAATAGGCATTTCTAGAGCTGGGAAAACTAGAACTTCAGTCTCCCTTCTGTGATGGTTCTTGATAAGCTCAGCTGTGTGCAAATAGTGCTTTTGCCCATCCATGATAATTTTCAGACTTAGTCTCCCCCTCTCCTAAGCAGCTGGCAAAGCGGTCACTGAAGTGGTCACATGAAACGGTGTATAATTTTCAAAACTAATTTTTAACAGCACTTACAAGCTTCGCCCCCCCTCCAATTTATATTTACCTGCATGCCTCTCTGGTCCCATCATGCACAAGAGCAGTTCTTAACACTATCTTAATGATGTCAACACATCTGGTCAAGGTAGGAGGGAGAAAGAAAGCAGACTATGGGACTGAAACAGTGAGGGGAGTTTATATCAGGACAACATGGGCCCAAACACCATAAAACTCCCCAATTGGTTTCTAAGGTGAGTCTGTAAGAGGTCTCTAATGGCAGTATATAGACTCATTCTAGAAGATTCTGGGATTGTAAGCGTGCTGAAGGGAAAGATTAGCTTCCAGCTGACTCACATGTTTGGCCTCTTGTAACCCAGAGTTTTCCTATGAGTTGCACATACAGGTACTGACGTAGCCTGTCTCTATATGAGGGTTACCATTTCCAAAAAGGAACTTGCATGGAGGGGCAGTCCTTCCCTGAAAAGAAAACAAAAGCAACTCTTAACCCTCTGGAAGGAGAAATGGAGACATCAAAGCCTATGGAGAAAATCTGGGGGAAATGGGAGGTGGGAGGTCTCAATAGAACTGGGGGTCTCTTTTTGGCCATGGGGTTGGGGAGTGAGTCATTCCTGTAGCGAGATTGTATATGTGAAGGAAGATTCTGGAGTTGGCCTGATAGTGGGAAGTGCCTACCACTGGAACCTACAGGGCAGTTCCCTGCTGAGAAGCTAGCACTGTCTCACTTCTGTGTTCTGAGATTCCTTGAGGAAGTGTGGTTGTGGGCTGGCAGATGGTTGTGCTCAAACCACTGAGTCATGACACAGTAGTAAATGCCCAGTGTCTTGAACAGGAGCAGAGAGAGTGCGTGGAAGATCTTGGGAGTTGAGGAGACATGTTGTAAACCTGGCCAGCTGGCTTTAGGGATTTAATGTGACCGGATAGGGCTCATTTCTTTGTGAGTTGGATGGTACAGTCTCTTGGAAGTCACTGCCCTGGGGCAGAACACTTGTTCCTGGAGGGCTCGTTCACCCCTTTCTATTCCAGAGCAGATCCTGTTGTCTCACCATATGTTTGAGAAAATGATTAGGCCCAATTGGGACCTTCATTACTATTCACTGGCTAATCATTCAGCAAATATTTGTTGAGTGACAAAGCATTGATTACATAGCAGCTGGGGCAGTGCTATACATAGCAAGAAAATGGGCAACCGTATGAAGCTATGTTTGAAAAAGACAGGAGTGATTCATCTGTTTCTTATTTGGGAATTCAGGTAAGGGGACAGTCACAGAAGGATAATCTTGTTAATGCAGTGTTACTTCTCTTATGCCAGCTCTTTGCTAAGTACTTTGAATCTTCACCTGGGAAAATTGGAGGGAAACACCTCGTCTCCGCACCCTCCATTTATTTGGCTCTTGATTATGAAGGTTCAGGTTCAAGACAGGGTAGCCCATTGTCTTGGGCCTTTGGCAAGGGGAGTAAATCATGGCACAGGTGCATGTCCAAGTGAGTGTTCACAGTTTGAGCCAAGAAACAGAGCAAAAAATGCCCTTTCAAAAAAATCAACAGGCAAGCTTGATTATAAAAATGCTGGTAGAAGGTTCATTTATTTCCTTAAAGGTTTTTTTGTTTTTATTTTGTGTGCATTTTGCCTGCATGTGGGACTGTGAGGCCAAAAGGGACATTGGGTCCTCTGGGACATAGTTTCAGATGATTGTGAGTTGCCATTGTCAGTGCTAGAAAGCAAACCCCGGTCCTCTGCAAGAACAGCAAGGGCTCTTAACCTCTGAGTCATCTCTCCAGCCCCTGTAGGGGTCTTGCCTTGGCAGTGTCTGCTGTCACAGCATGGGAAGGAGGAGAGGTGGCTGGAAAAAGTAGGGACAGGAAAGTAGCACATATGGAACCGAGGTTTGTAAGGCACACAGAGCTGGATTTCAGTGAGCATTGTTGGCTTTGCCTTTCTTTCCTTTTGAGAAGAGAGCATGGATAACATCTTGCATTTGTGTCCCTGTGATGCCTGCCACAGAGTGTGGTATAGGGTGGGAGCACACTCATGACAGGCAATGGCTAAAGCCTAGCAGAATTCCCAATGATGGTATGAACAACCATAAAATTATTTCCTTGCTACTTCATAAGTGTATTTTTGCTAGTTATGAATCATAATGTAAATATCTAATATGCAGGATATTTGATGGGGGTCGTGACCCACAGGTTGAGAAACACTGCCTTAGAGAGACTTCATTATAATGTTGGCTAAAGCTGGCCTTTTGTGGATGTGGTTGTTATCTATCTCTCCTGCTCTCTTGGGAGGTCAGATAACTTGGTTTCAATTTAGTGGCTTAGAACTTCTTCATGAATTGACTCTATCTCTTTTGGTCTGTTGCCCCTGGTGCATCAGCTCAGTCCAAACCAGTGGGCTCCTGGAAATGATATTTAATGCACTAGAATCATAAGCAGCCATGTCTGCAGTGTCTGGTGTATAGTGCAAACCATAGCTTATGTGTCATTGTGACGCTTTAGGGTACTAACATCGAGGCACCTGAAAAAGTCCTTGGTCAGAACTTAACCAGCGTCTAACTGGCCCCAGCTCCCACCTCTACCAGCCCTTGAGATTGAAGCAGGTCAGATGAGGCACCAGTTTCATTTCATAGAGCACACATAATCAAATTTTAAAGAGAGCAAGGCAAGCACACAGCTTTAATCCCAGCATGTGGGAGGCAGGGACACACAGATCCCTGAGTTAGAAGCCAGCCAAGGCTTTATAGTGAGACCCTGTCTCCAAAGGGGAGGGGGGTGCAAAAGCATTATCTTCCCTCTTGTTCTCACCACTGACTTCATCCTTATCCTTCCTGCATCCCTGTTGGAAAACCAATATAGAATCTGTCTGGTCTGAATCCTTCTGGAATTGGCTCCAAGGCTCAAATCCTGGGTTCAGATCTTAGATTTCCCATTAATTAGCTTACCATGTCTTGGGCATGGTTATCAGATCTGTTTTATAGTTAAGGAAAGCAGATATGGAGATAAATGCCTTAGTACTTCCTCATCAGCTTGTTGAGAGCACTGAACTAGATAAATTGAGCACACAATAAACTCACCACATGTGCCAATAGCACAATCCTCTAAGTAAGCCTGAAGCCCAGGTTGCTAAAGCCCAGTATGGAGAATGATTAACTAGATGACACAACTATTTCTGCCATTTTCTCTTAAGAGGCGGCTATAATTGGCGCAAGATCATACGTATAAAGGTATTGCCCTGATTCTGGTACAGTGGGGAGAGGAACAAGTGAGTTTGTCAAGTCTCATAGGCCCCCCAATGTGGGAAACTTCTGAGTTCATATCTTCATTTGCAGATGAGGGGGTGTGATGGCCACATCAAATGGTGGCAGAGGGGTGTGATGACACAGAATGTCCCGTCCTTTCCTCTTCCTATGTGGTACGCACCGATATTTCTTAAGGATAGCTGCCCTTTCCCGTAAGTCATTCCAGAACAAAGTTCTGCCCTAGAGGCAGAACAAACGGAACTAGACTCAGAGTGTGCCAAAGGGCCCTAGAAGATGAATTGTATATCTCACTGACCCCTGGTCTCCCTTTGGCAGGGCACAGAGAGGACTTAATACACTCTGGTCTGCAATCCAGTGTGAAACCCAGAACTTGGGTGAGAGGCGATCAACAAGCTCTTCTTTGACCTTGCTGTTTCTTTAAAGAAGTGGTTCTCAACCTGTTGGTCCCAACCCATTTGGGATTGAATGACCCTTTCACAGGGGTCACCTAAGACCATCAGAAAACACAGATATTTGCATTATGATTCATAACAGTAGCAAATTTACAGTGATAACATAGCAATGAAATAACTTCATGGCTGGGGGGGGTCACCACAACATGAGGAACTCTATTAAAGGGTCACAGCATTAGGAAGGTTGAGAACCACTGCTTTAAAGGATGAATGAATAATGAATGAATCCAGGCATTATCACAGGAGACTGCTTTAACTTCACCTACTACTTAGACTGTAGAAAAAACTGAGGCTGGAAACAAAGAGAAAGTAGCCAAGCATTAGAGTGACCACAAACTGAGAGCTGGCCCATGGTCTGGGCTGAGTGCCTACTGTGTGCTGGGGTAAGGGTTGCTGGACAGCAGGGAGTCCAAAAAGATAGAGATGAACACACCAATTGTTATGTGGGTCCAAGCTTTGGACACAAGGCAGCTCTTCCTGGGAGAAAGTAGTATTCCAGCTGAGTTGGATCTGACAGGGGCGTCTGTAGAGAGGCCCTTACTTTTGGGGAGTGCCTGGAGATACACAACAACCATGCTGTCAGGGAAGAAGGAAACCTTTGGCTTTGCTCTGTAGAAATGCTAAGAGGGGACTAGCTATGTGGACAGAGACCACATCTTCTAAAAACGCTCAGAACTACCAAGGAGTCTTGAGTAGAGGGCAGCACAGTTAGAACCACAGAGAGGAAAGACAAGCAGTAGCTAAGGAGGCTAGTGGAGGAGACGCACATTTAGAAGTAGGATGTATGAGACTGTCCCCAGACACCTTCCATGGGAGATGCTGTACCAGCTCTTTGGGTGTGGAGGGTAGCTTAGAAGGGAAGTAAGTAAAGAAACCAGATCAGATATCCAAGCCACTTAGAGCAGGATAAGGGAGTGATGGTTTGAGTAAGGGAAGACACTCAGGAGGGAGGATAGACAGGGTTTGGAGTCAGATGAGTAAATCGCTGTGGACAGGCTACTGACTCTTTATACCAAGGGGAGCCAGTAGTAGGGGTGAGGCTAGAAATTTCATGCCCTGACCCCCAAAGCGTCAATGCCTCAAAGTGTGGAGGTCTGTGCTATAGAATCCAACACTGGCCACTGCATTCTCAAGGTTTAGATGGCCTCGTGTGTATATTTCCTGCTCTGTGCTAGAATAGAACTGGCACCCCTGACCCGAGTCAGAGCTCGGAAAGCTGCTTAGTATGAATTGATCTTCTGTGAGTTTCTGGTCTGTGCCACTATTTAGTCTGTCAGTTACTTTCTCAGGGAGAAGCCTCTGTCCTGGGGCTTTGTAAATGGAATTCATAATTGCCCTAGATAATAAAAACCTGGAGTCAGATATAGAGGAAAATGCTGAGAGATCAGAGAGAAGGAGCAAGTCACCGCCACACCTTACCTCCTTAGTGTCTCAGCAGGCAAGAGAATGAGTTCCTGTTTCTCCCTGCTTATATCCGGTTTCTGCACAGCTAGCTCACTTCCGTACAGACCTCTAGAACTCTATGGTTAGCTAGTGGCCAGCTCTGTTCTCTGACCCTCAGACAGGCTTTATTTGTATGAGCACGATATCACCACAGGGCTTGAAGAGGAAACACAACCAGTCTTCCTGAAGGTTGGTTACCCTACGGCTTCCGTCCTGAGGGTCCTGGATTTCCTGCTTTCTTTCTCCCCTGGGGTTGTTCCTCTGTTTTGGCTCAATACCACACTGGGAATACAAGGTCCCAAGGCATGTTCTCCCTTTGGTGCCAGTCTCCTTCTTAGGTAGCTCTTCAGGGACAAAGGCTGTACCAGGGCCTTTTCTGGGGGCTGCACATATTTGTCTTTCACAGGGAACTGTCTCAGAGGTCATGTTTTGAAAAAAGTACGTCCCTCCTTAGAGGAATTTAGGGGATGAATGGCTGTGGGGTTTTGGATGGAAGAGTAGCAGAGTCTAACTTCTCTGGCTTACTGGAATGATCTGTCCTTTCAGACTGGAGACCAGCAATAAATCTTGCTGTCCTGGACTGTGCTGATGAGGTCAATACTGCTGTCTGCAGAGACTTCAATATCGATGGCTTCCCAACTGTGAGGGTATGTATGCGACAAAGGGAAAGGGAGAGCTAGGGATGGCTCTGGCTGAGCACATAGCTACCTGCTCCACATTTCCTCCCTGGGCTGCTGAGCTCGGAGGAGCCTTCTGATGCCTTTGGGCCTGAGTCTTGAAAGTCCTAGGTTCTGGAGCACTGCCCACCATCTGATGGAGCACTGCCCACCACCCGATGGAGCACTGCCCACCACCCGATGGAGCACTGCCCACCACCCGATGGAGCACTATCCACATCTGATAGAACGTTGTGTGGTAAAGTAGTTGTCACACAGGCTAGTGAGTGGTGCTTCTTCTCAAAGGCCTTTTCAATTCTGACTTGTGACCTCCTACTTTTGGAGGTCTGGGCATACTCTAAACCCATCTGTGGGTATATCATCCTCTGGGACCTATTGTTCTTCATTGTCATCAAGGAAGAGCTCTGCCGCACAAGCACACCAACGTGACTTAAGGGATTGCCTCACCCCCATAGCTGACATGTGCAGTGCTTCACATGGCAAAGCTTCCAGGGAAGGCATGAGGGTTCTCACACTCCAGCTCTGGCAGACAGACATGGGCTTTCTGACGAGCCTCTGTCAGTGATCACAGGGCACCAACTATTTTTAAAACATAGTTTTTAATGGTCGAACAGTGGTGTCATTCACCTTTAATCCCAGCACTCCAGAGGCAGAGGCAGGTGGATCTCTGAGTTTGAAGCCAGCCTGGTCTACAGAGTGAGTCCCAGGACATTCAGGACTACACAGAGAAACCCTGTCTTGAAAAACAAAAAACAAAAAAAATAGTTTTTAATTTTATGTGCATTGGTCAAACACCATGTCTATCTGTCTGAGGGTGTTGAATTCCCTGGGACTGGAGTTACAGACAGTTGTAAACTGCTGGGTGCTGGGAATTGAACACAAAAAAGGGCCCTCCCAGGGCTCAACTCTGCTCACCAGAATGGCATCTAGATAAGCATTTTCTCTACAGCCATTAAGAACAATCAGGAGGTGTCTTTGAAGGCTGAAATGCCAAGTCTTATCCCTGGAACAAGATATCTCTGAGCTCAGGCACCTCGAGTTCCAGTCAGATCCACGAGCCTGATCACTCAGCAGTTTCATCTGCAGGAGTGTCATTGCTGACCCCCACTGGACTCAGCCCCCACCCAGAGTCACTTCCTAAATGATCACCACTAAATGCTCTCAGACCAGGTTGCTTTGAGGAACAGTGTGGCAAGCAGTGGCTACTGCCACATCATCCTGGAGGCTCTTAGCACTCACCTCTTTAAATAGAAAGTCTCCGTGGCAGGACACTGTTTGTCCTCATCTCCAAGATATGTAACAAGGTATTTCAGTGGGGATGCTCTTTGCAGATCCAGAGGGAGCAATACTAAGTGAGAAGCTGTGGGAACCCAGTGTAGCAGCTGAAGCCATCATCCATAGGCTCAGAGTTTTCTCTCAGTGAGCCATGAACACTGGGGCTAAGCCACTATCTAGCCCACAGGGAGACCATTTAGGATGTCAGTTGGGGTTCTGTTACAAAAAAAATATTGTTAAACTTTTACTTTAGTAATAGTTAACACAAACCAAATTTAGGATCACAACATAAAACACACCAGTCTTATTGTAGGTCACAGTCCAAAGTCATTTAAAAGACACTTAGAGTCTTGGAGCAGGGGCAGCGTGAACCCTCTGGCCATCTTCTAGAGTGCCCTGACACCTGGAGCTTTCTGTTCAGACAGGGAGAGGCCAGACACTGGGTGTGAGGAGGAGGCCCAGGCAGGTGCAGGGTCAGAGACTTCTCAGCACCTACCCAAGTCACGCAGTACACGCAGCCTGGATGCCTCAACTGATTAATCACCTTACCTGCCCAGCTGACTGTGGGAGAGCCTGGGAGGGACCTTACCTGGTCATACTGGCTTTCCCTTATTTGAGACTGGTAGCACCTGGCTGGGCCAGTTCAGTAGACAACTGTCCGTTTCCTAAGCTCTCGTCTGGCCTCCCTGGGCATGGCGTTCCTTCCCTGAGGAACCTGCTGCTTAGTTTCATGTGAGGAGAAGCACTCAGTGTCCTGATCTTAGCCCTCTAGAAGATGGCCAGGTGCTTCACGCTGTTGCTAGATCTCTGTTCCAAGACTCTAAGTGCCTTTTAAATGACTTCAGACTGTGACCTGCAATAAGAAATGTATATTTGACACTGTGATCCTAAATTTGATTTGTGTTAACTATTGCTAAAGCGAAAGTTTAATGACATTTTTTGTTACACGTAAAAAAAAATACTGTCACTTACTAAATTGACATTTGCTTTTCATCTTACTACTAGACTGATTCTCGCATGTTTCAAAACAGTACTCACACGTGTTTCAGATCTCCAGTCTTCCTATGAAATCCTAAAATGCCAGGCTCCTTAAGAAGCAGAACAGGAAAAAGCCTGCCAGTTTGCCCTGTTGCCCTAACTGCTGCCCTCTAGGGGCCAGAGCCTGTCATTGCTCACTACCTATAGAAGCTATGTGAGCCCTAAGTGAGGACCCATGGTGTGATGGAGACATACCCACACAAGCCTGGCCACTATAGTGAGTGACATGTGTCACTGTCCTTTTTCGCTTCCCCTAGCCCCTAGTCACCATGAGCACATGTTGAATTCCCACTAGCCAAGCCCGTTTAGAAAATACCTGGCCCTAAAGGCCAGGATCTTGCTCTGCCAGGGCCCCATGAGGCCGGAGTAGAATGCCACTGGAAGAAAAAGATGCAGGCAGCTGAGTTTGCAGTAGATTTTGGCTGAAGAAGCCCTAGGCCAGAGCAGTGCCCCATTAGGTGGTGAAGACCTATTTAGTGATCTCTGAGAAGCTCACCAACACCCACTGTTCACTGTGTCACTTAAGGCCCCAATCACAGTCTCAGTTTTCCTGCCTACAAAATTGGGATGACACCATCTATTAATAAGATTCCCAAGTGCGAATAGAGGCCTTACCTGTGGAATCGCCTGGGCACTGGCATTTGGGGGGATTGGTAAATGTTAGTTTTCTTCTTGTTTCTTGTCCCCTGAGTCTAATGGTAGTTTCTGTGTGCATCCTCAGCAGAGGAGCTTGGGCAGGGAAGGTGAGAGCTGGGGTCATTGTGAGGAGAATTGTGTGGCTTGTTACATAGAGGATCATGCTCAGGGGTGAGCCAGGGCAAGGACAGTAGGAGCCCAAGAATGCCAGGTCCTTGAAGGCCAGGCAGAGTATGGAGCAATTCATAGCACAGAGTCCAGGCTGTTACTCTATAGAGCTCTTACTAGAACCCTGTAGCCAGAGGGCAGGTTTTCAGGGTGACAGAGAATTTAGGTGTCTTCTTCCTCTCTGAGAAAAGGACATGGGTTCTCATCTCCTGTCTTCCAGCCATTTGCTACACTGACTTTTCACAGCACAGAGACTAGGTAATTAAGGCTGTTGGTCTTCCTGAATTCAGTGTGAAATGCTTGGAGACTTGATTATGTTTCTGTAAACTGGTTCTGTACGCTTGGCTCCAGCACTACCACTCATTCCTGGAACTTGTGCTTTCTGCTTAGGTTCCCGGTGTCTTTTCCCGTGCTAACAGTTGTCCTGCTGTTGTGGGAAGGCCACAGCCTCACAGGGGCAGCAAGTCCACGAAGGCAGAAGTGCCTTCCTCTGTCCTATTTTATGCCGAGGGGTGAAAAGAAGAGGCAGGGCTGGAGAGATGTCTTGTTGCTCTTGCAGAGGACCTGGGTTCAGTTCTCAGCACCCTCATGGTGACTTAAAACCACCCTTAACCCCAGGGTATCCAATGTCCTCTTCTACCTAATGCAAGTACCAGACACATACATGATATACATACATACATGCAGGTAAAACCCATGTACACATAAAACAAATCAAGAGAAAGAGACTGTAAACAAAGGAACTGTTGCCTGCTGTCAGAGAAAAGATGCACTCTTGGAGGCTCCATTGCCTTTTGTCAGGGTAACATAACCTCAGGTAGGTGCACACCTCCAGTGGTTGACTTAACAAGGGTGTACTTTCCTGAGGACAAAAATGTGCCCTGACTAGATTTCCACTTGAGCCTTGGAGGTGATGAAAGGGGTATGGCTGCTGAATTGGGCAGCTAAGTATGCCAGACACCATACCAGGGACAGTGTGGTTTGCAGTGATGTATAAGCTGTTAGCAGGTAGGTGGGTGCCTGAGTCACTGTTCTATTGCTCTGAAGAAACACCATGGTCAAGCAACTGGGACTTGCTTACAGTTTCAGAGGGTGAATTCATCATCATGGTGGGGAGCATGGTGGCCAGTAGGCAGGCATAGTACTAGAAAAGTAGTTGAGAGCCGAATCTTGCTTTGCAGCAAGTGGGGGGTGAACAGACAGATATTGGGCCTGACATGGGCTTTTGAGACCTCAAAACCCACCCTTACCTCCCACCCCTACCCTCCACCCCCTACCCCTGTGACAACAAGGCCACGCCTAGTCCAATAAGGCCATGCCTTCTAACCCTTCTCCAATAATGCCAGTCGCTGTTGACTAAGCATTCAAGCATATGGACCTATGGGTGGCGGTGTTAGTCAAACCACCACAGTGGAGGTCACAGGAACTTTCAGGAGTCCTAGGGAGTGAACTCAGGCAGCTGAAGTTGGCTGTGAGCTCCTTTGCCTGTTGAGCTACCTCGCTGGCTGGGATTAACATTTCTGACTCATGAAGAGAGAAAGCAAATGGCTACTAATGTAAGAGATCAGGAACTAGGTTTTCACTTACTGGCCCTGGTCTAGACAAGGTGAGAGGTATTATTGACAGGTGACAAGGCTGTTGAAGAGGTGTCCCCAAGGCATAGCCACAGAACTTGCCGGGTGACTGGATGGGGGTTATAGGGTAGGGCCATGCTAGTTTGGGAAACAGGGAGAAGGGCTGATTGCTGGGTGAGGTAAAACACAGGTGCAGAAGTAGGTTGAAGGAGGGACAGCTCAGCATTGGTGCGTGGGCTGGGGTGCCTTGACACCCCTGTGGAGTTTACCAGGGGAAACCAGAAGTCTAGGGCAGGTAAGGACTCAGAAATCCATTGAACAAAGCAAATGGCTTGGTAACAGAAAAACAGTAGTTTTGTTCTTGATTCACTTATTCAGTCATTCATTTGAAAGTATAAACGGAGCCCCTTCCTTCGAGGGCACTTCAAACAAAGAATGACTTGGTTTGATGTGTGCCAGCAGGAGAGAGACTAAGAGCAGCAGATGGTACAGTGGCACAGGAGAGCAGCCAAGGGTGAAGTCAGGACAAGGGTCAACAACCGAGAAGGACTGGTCACTGGCCAGTAATCCAGGGAGGGTGGCAACATGAGAAAGGAGAGAAGAAAGAGATAGTTTCAAAACTGTGCGTGGAAAACAAAACAAAAGCTGTCTAGGGAGGTGGGAAGCCGCAGACAGCTACTGCCCAGAGCACAAACGGCACCTGGGAGATGCTTGGCTAGAGAGAGTCACCACGTGGCTTTCCCTGAATTGTTTTAGTGGCTCCGAGTAGTGGGGAGAGACATTGGGAGCAGAAGAGGCATTCGGCAGTGCAGGAGCAAGAAGCCTTTCCATAGTCCCGCCTTTCTTCCCTTCTGTCTTCCTACAGTTTACATGAGGACTCTTAGGATCTCTCCATAGCCCAGAAAAATTGCTGGTAGAGAAAGGGTATAATGAGAAAGACATTAATTGGTAGGAAAAAGTTTCCAAAGATCATAAGGTGTGGGAGCCACGTTCTCCAAGGGTGATCTGTTCTAGAAGGTAGATAGGAAGTGTCTGAATACTGAGAAGGCAGCGTAGTGGCACAGAAAGTCCTTTGTCATGCACTCTGTGGCAGGGGCCTCCTGAGAGTTCCTATGATAGATTAGAGCCTTGACATTTAGGGTGAAGGAGATGCCTTTTGTTTTTTTGGGGGGGGTTCGTGCCAGCTCCATTAAGACAAGTGCTTGCTCAGACTTAGGTGGCCTGATAACTGATGAAAGAAGGGGTACCATGTTGTTCTGCAGAGCTGAATGTAACTGTTATAGCTATGAGCAAGCCACACCATTGGAGGCTGGTCCATGACTTGAGAGGCCTAGAAGTAAGTCTGTCTTATCTGTACAAAAGCGAGAGCACAGCTGCAGTACCACACTGAGCTAACTACCCTGCACTGTCACATTAGTTTTGTTTCTGAGAAGCAGTTTATCCATAAAGGCTCCAATGTGTGTTACAAGCTTAATTTCATGTCACAAAAATTCAGGAAATTTGTGAGCATTTTACAAGTAATAGAATAATAATTTTACTAGGTCAAGATTTGTTCAGTAACTGCCAAGAACATGGGCACATGTATGATATACGTAAATGGGGTTTTCCCTTATGAATAAAGTATTACATTCATATTTTGAAAAGAGAATGGGGTAGAGAGCAGGAGGAAGGACAATGAGGTCACAAGTAGGGGATGGCTGGTTTCTGCAGTCTGTTACTCACGTGAATTTTCCCTCCCTGCCTACATATGAATGGAACAGACTAGTCCTAGCTGCTCAATGTGTCCTGGTGCTAAAAGGGTGTGTGTATAGAAGGAAATGATGATGATGAAGTTGACATTTATTGAGTCAATTATTAAATGTACAGGTTACTGTGCCTTAATTACTTTAGTTTTATGTTATTGACTCTTATAACAATTCTAGGCTGGTGGTGTCATTCTCATTTTAAAGATCAGAATACTAAGGTTTAGTGAAGCCAAAGGGTTTCCCAGGGTCACACAGCAAGAACATCTCAAAGCCAAGTCTTGACCCCAGCTCTGCCAGACCCTATGGCTGCACTTAACCGCCTGCTTGGGATAAGGCTGGGGCCATGCTGTCGGAATAGAGGACTAAACCAGAAAAAAATGACCCTGCAGTTTAAGGCCCTCATGAAGAAGCCTTCAGGGTCTTCTGCAGATAGCTGAGTATCTTCTAGGACAACCACCGTTTCTCTCTAGAGATAGGAGGACATGGCAGGGGACCTGCAGCCCCTTGGGCAGAAGCCCAGGTTATAAGCTGCCTAGCTTTCCCTCTGTCCCCTCACTCCAGTGACACACTGGGCCTGTGTGGGGAAAGAGAACAGCGTGATATTGAAGACTGTGTGTTATAGTCTTTTTTTTTCTGGGGCACAGATCCACCTCTCAGTAGGACCTATCCTGGATTCTTGACCCTTGGCTGAGTGCTACAATGAGTTGGGTGTTCTCACTGAGAAGACACTGGCCTCAAAGACCCATTTCCAGAAGGAGCAGGGATAGATGGGCACGTGGGACAGCTAACATATGCCAAGGAGTCACTTTCTTCTTCGGATGGTCTGCACCAAGACAGCCAGTGTCCTTTCCCTGTTCCCTGAATAGCTTCCAGGAATGAGGTGCAGGTGCCAGGGCTTTGTGAAGCTGGTCTCCTGGAAAGTTCTGAGCTGCTGCCTCCAGGTTCTAAGAGTGCTTTGGTGGAAGGACTGAATGTGGGGACACTAGAGAGGGGTTCCAGAACAAAACCTCCGTGATCTCATTTATAGGTGAAGTGAGGCTCCAAAAAATGAGTAGTCTATCCAAAAGCCACCCCAGTTAGAGGGCAGCTATATTTTAAGTGCAGGCCTACCTGACATGACTGCTGACTCTTGTGTTTGTTTTCAGTTTTTTAAGGCATACTCCAAGCATAGTTTTGGAACAACATTGCCAGGTGGGTACTCTGACTCTGGCTGTGTGTTGACATTGCCAGTGTCTTCTCTTCAGCACTTCTGCTTTTTACCTGGGTTCCTACGGGGTCAAGAAAACCCCCATTCACATGGGTGAAGCGGTCCCCGAGCAGTCTTTTTCCCACATATGTCTCCTTAGTCAGTCTGGGAGATGCTGCAGGAAAGCCCATTTGAGCAGCCCTTCATGCATGGTCTATTCAAAGTCCTGGGTTTGTGGGTGGGGAACCATCTTCCCAGCATATCTCTAACCCTGAAGCCAGTTCTGAGGGACACCTTTCTACCCTCTGGATCCTTGACCCTTGGCTGACTGCCATGACAGCTTAGGAGTCCCACTGAGGAGACACCGGCCTCAGAGACCCATTTCCAGGGAAAAGAGCAAGGACAGATGGGCATGTAGGAAAGCTGACATATGCCAAGGAGTCACTTTCCTCTTCAGTGGTCTGCATGAAGACCAATGGTGACATCACTGTTCACTAAATAGCTTCCATTAATGAGGTGCAGGGATGGGGCTTCTTGCTTTGCTTTAAGCCACAAGAGCCGTCACTCCACCCCCTCCTTACAGGAGGGCTGGCATGTGTTTTTTCTTGAAATTGGTTTGGGGACCCTTGTTTGTAAGTGAAACTGACAAGGGTACAAGGGATTGTTCTTTCCTGATTCCCTCTTCTGTTTTCATTTTTAGTGGCTGGTGCTAACTTGCAGACGCTACGTAGGAGGCTCATTGATGCTCTGGAGTCCCACAATGACACATGGCCCTCAGCCTGTCCATCGTTGAAGCCTGCCAAGTATTTTGGGTTGGGGCAAGCTTGGTGTAGCATAGGTCAGGGGCCCAATCATGGAGAAGGTGTTGGGAACCATGGGTCAGAGGACCCATCTTGATTCTTCCTGTGCCCTTTACCTATGGAGTAGATACTTGAGAGTAGCTGGTAATGACTTCTTTTTGCTTTAGGTGTTGAGGAACCCTGTCTCTTAGGGGCTGGCTGAGGGTCAAAGGCCTGACCTATTGGGTGGAAAAAAAAGTGTGTGAGGGGAGTTCTTCAGGTCATACTTGGTTGCTGCTTCTCCTGTCTGGTCCTCAGGAGTGTTTGTGGATGTCGGATGTTTTCCCTGCCTAGTCCAGGGGAGGCCACTGGAAAATGAGAGGACAGAGGAGATAAGGCACCAACCAGAAGGAAAGTCTAGGATGTTCAGAAGAATAAGGCCCTGTTTGTAAACTGAAAATGGTCAACTGGTGTTGAATTCAATTAATGATGATTCCATCATCTTTCCTAATTCCTCATCTTTCTAGAGGGCCTCACAAAGACCCTGGGCCAAGCATATATACCTAATGTAGGTTGGGGTTCCATAACCAGACTCCATCTTTGGTAATTGTTGGTCCCTTCCCATGCTGTTACAAATACCTGAGAAACAATTTAAGAGAAAAAAGTATTTGTTTTGACTAATTATTTCAGACATTTTGGTTCACATGTGGCAGGACCTATTTTTGGGGGTCTGAGATGATACAGAGTATCATGGTGGTTAGAGCATTGGGCAGAAGCTGCTCATCTCATGGCAGCCAAGAAGCAGCAAGAGAAAAAGAAAGACAAAGAGGAGTTGAGGACAGTATATCCCCCAGGGACAGGTGCACAATCATGTACTTATCCCTCTGAAAGTTTCCATCCCCTCCTGATTCTACCATCAAATTCTGAATCCATATGCTGGTGATTACATCCGAACCCTCATGAACCAATCATCTCTCAGTGATTGGACTCACCAGCAGGGGACTAAGCCTTCAATGCATGAGCCTTTTGTGGGGACATCTCATATCCAAGCCATAATATCATCCCTTTAGAAAATGTACATTAGACTATACCCCAATTATTTTTTTCCTTCCATTTCCTTGTAGCTATGTCACTGTCACATTCTCTTACACACACACACACACACACACACACACACACACACACACACATCTTTTATAATGTATTTTCTTCCCTGGGAACCATAAAAGCAACAAACTGGCCAGATCCATCAACCTGTCTCAAAGTGATCCTTTTGATGCCCTTAGGAAGAATATAGGCAGATACACGTGATGAAACTTGAACTGCCTCTTCCAGAAGGCTGAGGACTTGCTCCTCTGCCAGCTTAGGGTAGGTATGAGGATGTGGTCAGAGAGACTGGCCACCTAATGCCACCCAGAGGCTGATGTTATCTACAGAACTTCTTTTATCCACCAAAGGTTTACCCTAATCCCCACCTCTCTGGCACATCCATTCATATGCCACCAGATTGGACTCTAGCATTGACCTGATGTCACCCTTTCTGTTTGGAGGTATTTGCTACATGTCTTTGGGTTAAGTGCAGGGAAGTGAGACCACGTTAAGGATAAAGGAAGATGCATTCTCCTCTTGCCCACGTGCCTTGTCACCTGTCCTCTTCTTACACGTGCTGGGTGCTCTCTTTTTAACTGGAATGAGAGACATAGTTTTCTTTGAGTTTTTACAATTACCTGCAGCTTAGTCCTCTCATTGAGAGATAGACTTTACCTTCTTAATCATTCTTCCTAAGAAGACTGGGCCTCACTCTCCTCACCTGGAGCTGAAGAGGTTGGAGTCATTGACTTCCACATCCTCCTGACCCAGAACTCTCTTCATTGGTTCCCTTGTTCTGAGAGGAAAACACTGCTCTCCCCACTTGTCCTGACTTGTCTTGGACCAGGGCTTGTGTTTAATGGGTTCTAATTGCCAGTCTCTTAGGGAACCAGTAGAACCGTCTTCAGTAAGCCTGGGCCTTACCCAGAACATGGAGGTGGCTGGTCTGACAGCATCCCCAGCCTGCCTCCTGTTTACTCCTGACTTCTAAAAGGGACAGAACAAAAAATACAAAACAATAAATCCCAAGGTGGGTCCAATAAGAAGAGTTAGATAGCATGAGGGGCATCCTCTGAGATGTCAGGGTTTGGTGTCCTTCTGTTGGTGGGCTGGCAGAGGGAGGCACAGCATTATGGGGAAACGTGACCCATCGGAAGTGCTGTAACCCTGGGAGTCTTACCTCATTTCCATGGGCTATGGAGAGAATGAACCCATTTATCTCTTTGCAGGCTGAAGGAGATCAACAAATTCTTTGCAAAAAATAAAGCAGAGTTCCTGGCCCTGATCTTTGAAGACAAAGACTCCTACGTGGGTAGAGAGGTGAGCTTTCCTGAGTCTCAGAAGAGGCCATAGGGAGAGTGCTGCCCAGTTTAGACCAGTGTAGATTAGCTAGGCACTGCCTGACTCCTGGTGAGCATTTGGTACCTTTCTACTTTAAAAAGTTAGTGTCTGGCTGGGTGGTGGTGGCGCACACCTTTAATCCCAGTACTCAGGACGCAGAGGCAGGCAGGTCTCTGTGAGTCTGAGGACAGCCTGGTCTACAGAGCAAGTTCCAGGACAGACCCCAAAGCTACACAGAGAAACCCTGTCTCAAAAAAATGAAACAAACAACAACAAAAAAGTATCTGTTCTCTCCTCTCTCTATGAAACTAAAAGTAAACCTGCTGTTTATTGCATCTAGGGCTAGATACCAACACATTTCTGCTAATCCCTAAACTTGGGATAAATGGGATAAATGGGCAATGGGATAATGGGATAAAATGTCTAGGATCACACAGCTAGTAATGTGGAAGAGAGCAGTCTGACTCAAAACCTGTGTTGTTCCTTCACTGCCCTAATTGCATAAAATTGGTGTTAAGAAAAAGGGGGGGGTATGAGTGAATTAGACACATGAGAATTAACTTGATCCCTCATGAGGAAACCATATCCTTGACCAGCACTTCTCCCTCAGTTCAAGGAATGTCTTGGGTCAAGTTGCCCAGCTTCTCCTGAGCCTTATTTCCTAGCTGTTGAATAGAAGTCATGTTTGCTTATACTGTTCATATTGGAAAGCTCACTAAGGCAATGTAGGGAAGAGCTTAGATCAGTGGCCAGCGTGCAGCAGGTGCTTTATGAAGATCTACCTCTTTGCCTGCTGTAGAGAGCACTCACTGTGCTGCTGGTGCTCGGGCTTGCCACAGATAACTCGGCCATGCTTGTTACGTGTTCCAAGGTCATTCTGGGAGAAGAGACCTGAGGGGGTGAGCTTAGACACTACTGTGGGCCCAGGACAGTTTTCCTCATTGGTGATTTCTGGGACCTTTCAGCCCTTCAGAGTGCAGTTAGGAAGACTGCCAGCAGCCTTCTTAGAGTACCTGACCCTCTGGCTCCCTCTCTGTGTCTTGGTTAGGCCTGTCAAACACAGATGACTGACAAATGTTGATTAGAATCAATTCTCCCTTCACCTCACACAACATGATTCAGTTCTACACTGTGGTTCCTCAGCTACAAAATAGGACTCTGTTTCCTATTACTGTCTATTCTGTCTACAGAATAGCATTTGATTTGATTTGGTCTTGTTGAAATAGAGTTCCACATAATTCAGGCAGGCCTATGACTCACTAGGTAACTGAGACTGGCCTTGTCCTAGTCAGTGTTCTGTTACTGTGAAGAGACACCATGACCACTGCAACTCTATAGAAGAAAACATTTAATTGGGGCTGGCTTATAGTTCAGAGGTTCAGTCCATTGTTATTGTAGCAGGGACATGGCTGCATGCAGACAGACATTGTGGTAGAGACGTAACAAAGAATTCTATAGCCTGCTCCACATGTAGCAGGAAGAGAGAACACTGGGCATGACTTGGACTTTTGAAACCTCAAATCCCACCCCCAGTGAGTCCAATAAGAACACACCTACTACAAAAATATACCCCCTAATCCTTTGAAATAGTGCCACTCCTTAAGCATTTAAATATATGAACCTATGGGGGCCATTCTTATTCAGATCACCACATTCCACTCCACACCCTGGCCCCCATGGGCTTATAGCCATATCATAATGCAAAACTGCATTCAGTCCAACTTCAGAAGTCCTGGTCTCTAACAGTCTCAATACTGTTTAAATGGCCAGAGTTCAGTCTCTTCTGAGACTCATAGCACTCTCTTAACTGTAGCCTCCTGTAGAATCAAAATAAAAAATCAGGTTACATACTTCAAACTTACAATGGCACATACAATATATATTACTATTCCAAAAGAGAGGAAAAGGATCATAATGAGGAAATACAGGACCAAAGCAAGACTGAAAAACCATTAGGGCAAACTCCAAACTCTGCATCTCCACGTCTGATGTCAAAATGCTCTTCAGTCCGCCAACTTCTTTTACCTGTGGTTAACTGCAACACATTTCTCTCTCTTGGGCTGGTTCCACATCCTGCTAGCAGCTCTCCTTTGCAGGTATCCCATGACTTTTGGCATCTCCAACATCTTGGGGTCTCTTGAAAGCAATCTAGGCTTCAACTTCACAGCTTCATGAAATGGTCCCCCTGAGTCTCCATACAGGGACTCCTCTGCCACACCTGACCTCAGAGGCTTTCCTTAGCTGTGGAGGGAGATTCCATACAACCCATTTCTTATGTTCTTGACTGTAAAACCAGAACCATGGAGCTGAAGCTGTCAAGTTCTGCTGCTTGCTGGGCTGGAACTCAGCTGCCTCATTCAAATACATTTTCACCAGCTTTCTGTTTTCCATGGTTTTATTCACTGCGAAAGCTTTTATTTAGTTGGAACCTTTTCAAAAGTTGGAAACTTAGTTGGGTGGGGTCTTGCCTTGAGGCCACCACTCCCTTTATTCCATTTAGCATCAGGCTTTTCTTTAAACTTTTTTTCTCCTTGAGCACTGGACTTAGTTCCATTACATTTCCTGGTGCTACTTTTCTCTTGAAACTGTATGTTTTATATTTTTTCCCTTTCTCAGCTTGTTCCTTTTCATTATAGATCTGCTAAGAGTGACCCTTAATAGCCACCTGTCAGTGTCAATACTAGATTGTCTTGAAATCTCCTCTGCCAATGTCATTAATTCAAAACTCTTATTTGGCCTTAGCTAGAGTCTTTGCCAAGATATCACAAGAACAGTTTCTAGGACATTTACTAATATTCTTCTCCTCTGAAACCTCTTGTGTTGGGCGTCATAATTTCAGCACCACTGCCTTCCACATTCCCACTAGTATGGCCCATTAAGCCCTGCTTAAAGTATTCAGCTGCTTTGCTAATCCAAAGTCCCATTCTGCCAACAAGCAGCATGGTCAGGTCTGTCATAGCAGTACCGTGCTCCCTGGTACCAATTGGTGCCACCACAGGCCTTGCACTCATGACTCTCTGACCTCCACCTTCCAAGTTCTGTATTACAGGTGTGCACCACCATACCCAGCTGAAAACTTTTCCTGTGTAAGTGTAGTGTGTGTATGTGTGTGTGTGTGTGTTCACACAGGCATCTGCATGCCACGAAGCCCATGTGGAAGTCAGAAGACAACCTCAGACATCAATCCTTAACTTCTACTTTATTTGAGGCAGGGTCTCTTGTTCACTATTGTCTGTGCTGGCCTGTGTGCTTCTGGGGCTTTCCCTGTCTCCACCTCCCATTTCACCATAGGCATGCTGGGATTACAGATGCATGCTACCACCCCAGCTTTTACATGAGTTCTGGGCATCTGAAGTCAATCCTCACGTTTGTGTGAAAATACTTTATCTATGGATCCATGTACCCAGCCCAAATTATATATTTTTAATAAATAACATATATAGCTACCATGTACTGGCCACTATTACAAGCATTTTAATAAATTTTATCAGTGCAGTCTTCATAACAGCCCCCTAAGATTTGTTTGTTACTGTTGTCATCATTTTCATTTTGCAGGTAAGGAAGTTGAGTCAGGGGAAGGTTGGTCTTGTGACATCAGGACTCACCGGCTGCAGCTGTGGTGTGAAGGCCTGACGGGGGCTGCTGGCCCAGTGTTATTCTGGAGATTAAGTGTGGCATCCAAATACACAATGTAGTACATAACAGGAAATGCTATTTTCCATTATTTCTCTCTAAAAACAAAATGACCCTGTCTGATCAATATATTTTTCTGACTTAAGATATAGATATAAAGCTTAAACATATAAGAATAAAAAAAACATTTTACCATATTCATTTGGTACTACCATAGGACATCTGCACAGTTCCAAGGCCCTTATCTTGGATAGTATTTGGTAGTTCTTCCCTGAGGTTTGTATGAACTTTATCACAGTTGTCTGCTCTGCAAGGTTTCAAATCTAGATAGAATATAGCTGCTACCAAATACCTACCAAGCTGCAGGCTAGTACTCAGCTCTCTCTACCCACTGAGTAAGCCCACCACATCCTGCTGTCTCTGCAGGTAATTCTGGACCTGTCCCAGCGCCATGTCCCAGTGCGCAGGGTCTTGAATACAGAGAGCGATGTGGTTTACAAGTTTGATGTCACTGAATTTCCATCGTGCTACCTGCTGTTTCGGAATGGCTCTATCTCCCGAATACCTGTGTAAGTGTCATATCCCCTCTCCTTTTCCCCCTGTCTATTCATTCTTCCTGCCTAGAGCAGTCACTAGGAAGAACAGGCAAGTAGGAGCAGCAGTTGTTTGATCCTCGGCGTGAGACAAGACCTCCAACTTGCAGCTCAGGGTTTCTGCCTCAGCCCTGAATTCTTCTTACACATCTACACCACGCCCAGGCCATGTCACCCATCCTTTCTGTCCACAGAGGAGTTCACTGACAGGGTGCGGGCCTGGCAAGGACTCAGACACGTTGGGCCTTCTCTCCCTTTCCTTTTCTAATTGCAGAAAAGTTCATTAGGAGCCAGACAATAGCCTGTTCCAAAATGTCAGGAGAAAATAATCAAGCCAGCCTCAGCTGCTCTGCCAGACTCCTGCTGCTGAATGCCCTGTTAAATGGCACCAGATGGTGCCTTGGTGCCCTCTGTAGGCAGATGATTGATGTCAGCCTGGCCCTGCAGGCAGAAATTCGGGGAGCCAAGGAACTCAAGACTACCCTAGCCACCCAGAAATCTGCTTCTTGGGGTCATTAATACCACCCTACACTGAGGCTGAGCTAGGTAGCCTCTTGCCCTAGCCTAGATCACCAGTGCCCCTGAGGCAGAGTCAGGAAGTTCAGAAAGTGTGACGTTCACAAGGGAAATGTTAGGCTGGATTCTGGGAGGGCCCAGAAATTGCCAGTCCTAGAGGCCAGAAGAGCCATTGTTGCCTCACTTGGAGTTGGTGGAGGAGAAAATTGTTTGTGACGATGGCTGCTACTGAACCATCTGCTCATTGATAGACACTGAGCTGGGATGGCATAGCAGGGGAGCCGTGCTTCCTGATGCTGGCTCCCATGAGACGTCCTGTCACGGATGCTTACCTTGGCCAGACCTTTTTGAGGAGATATTTCCTGCTCTTAAGACTCCTGTAATAGGAGAGGGGAATCAGGAGGATTTGGACAAACATGGTTCTCTGTTATTGATATTCTTTTTAAAACTCTGACTTCCTTGGGGAGTAATGTTACCTTATGATGTCTTGGAACAAGCTTGTGGGAGGGTGACTGCCTTTAGTCTGTAGGGAAGACAGTAAAACCCAGCCATTCCTGTCATGGGCAGATGTTGGTAGGTTTTTGTCTTTGTGGTGCTGGGGACCCAACCTAGAACTTGCACAGCTAGGTAGCTCTCCTATTGCACTGTATCCCCAGTTCTCTAAGGCAGAATGGATGCTGTTCCGAGTGACACCCACCTGCCTCCAAAGATCATGGCTTTGACTGGAGCCAAGGGGGCACAGTGAGTAATTATTAGGTCCAGTTGCTTTTTCAGATAGGGGTTCTTTATCTGGTTGATATAAAATAGGGTTTCTATAACATGTACAGTTAATAGACAAGTTAAAGTAAGGTTCAAGGTGCCAAAGACAAGATGGGAACAAGTTTAGATATTTCTTGATAAGCCTTTCTGTTGGAGGAGACACTCTATTTACTCTCCTGACATTGGCTATGTGATGTTTCCTTTGTACTTACTGCTTCCCTTTGCTTTCTTCCCAGGCTGATGGAATCCAGGCCTTTCTATACATCCTATCTGCTGGGACTGTCTGGACCGATCAGGGAAGACCCCTTATCCACAGCTGTACCAGTCACTACTGACGTAGTGCCCACAGTGTGGAAGACTGCGAGCGTGTAAGGGCACCAAGCTCTCACACACATCCCTACTCCTACCTCTTCTCTGGTTATAGGCCACACCTCCTTCACAAGCACTGCCTCACTCATTCCTGTTCCTGTCATGTGGATAGGGACATGTGTCCCTTCATGGCTGGCCTTGGGTTTTGTTTTGTTTGTTCTGGTGATGCTGGGAACCCACCCCAGGACTTGAACATGCTAGGTAGAAACTCTACGATTGAATTACATCCCCAGCTGAGTAACATCTGCTATATACAAGGTCTTTGGGGGTTTCTGGCTGCTGACCAAGCTCAGGAACTTTTCTGTGGCCTCTCTTGTCTTTATGCCAGGGCCTCAGCGCCAGATGTGGGCTTGCCAAAAAGCATTGCATGTTACCCTTTGTAACTGAAGTAATGCTGTCTATTGCCCATATTGTACAAGCTTAACTTTACTCAAAAACAGGTAGAAGCCAGACATGGTCCTATACACTTGTAATGGCAGTACCTAGGAGGTCACAACAGCAGGATTGTGAATTCCTGGCCAGCCTCAGCTACGAAGTAAGAGAGCCAGAGTGAGAATGAGAAAAAGGAAGGGAGGGAGGGAAGGAGATGGGAAGTGGAATCAGTGTGAAGGATCACTAGGGGGTTCTATACTAACTTCTGTCCTGAGCAATTGTTTCTTCAGGACCACACAGCTCCTATCTGTCTAGTGGGTATGAGATGTGAGGTCTGGCATCTGTGTGCGCATCAGCTCTGAAAGAGAAACTGCTGCCCAGCTGCCCCCATGCCCTTCTGCTATCCCAGGTCTCCAGCCTTAGTGAGTAGCCAGATCCTTAGCTTTCACTCTTGGAGAGGGCCAGCTTTTTCAGAGTGATGTGTGCGCGCATGCACTGTCCATTTGTTTTCTGTCTCTAAGCGATTTTTGCATAAAGTAGAATAAAGCTCAATACCTTTGCATGAAAGTAACACAGGAAGTCACTATGCTAGCCTTGATGGTTGCCTTGATGGTCTCTTCTCATAGACTTTACAGTCCCTTTCAAAGTGTCCCTTCTAGGAAGTCACCCAACTTCATCTGAATGCTGCAAGTATTAGGGAGTCCACTACTTTTTCAGGTAGTCCTTGTCTGTGCATAGTTTTTTTTTTATTTGTTGTTTGTTTGTTTTTTTCCAGACAGGGTTTCTCTGTGTGGCTTTGGAGCTTGTCTTAGAACTCACTTTGTAGACCAGGCTGGCTTCAAACTCACAGAGATCCGCCTGCCTCTGCCTCCCAAGTGCTGGGATTAAAGGCGTGTCCCATCACTGCCCAGCTGTGCATAGTTTTAAGTGTTAAATAACTGCTGGTTGTTTGAGACTCCTGGGCTTTGCTTTTATAGTAAACACCATGACGCTGTGCATGGAGATGGAAATAGAGACCTCTTGCCTTAGTACCCAGCTACAATATTAAGCAAGGATGTCTGACCAGGCAGCTCAGTGCTGGCTCAGAAAGATACCCTGTAAGTGGGGGACATAGAGGACTGAAAGAAAGGTACAGGAAGGGTCTCACACCCTGGCATCGCAGACGCTATAGGTGGAAGTACAGCGGAGAGAGTTTTAGTAAATAAAGTGACAAGGAAAGAGACTTAGGAAGTGGCACTGAGTACCTGGGAGATGGCTCTGTGGGTAAAGTACTTGTGCAGAGATGAGCCTTGAGTTCAAATCACTAGTGCTATGTAAAAGCCGGATGTAGTGATGCACTGTAATCCCAGAGCTGAAGTGTGCAGACAGACAGAAATTGGGCTCCACGGCCAGCCAGTCTGGCTGAAATGGTGAGCTGCAAGTTGAGTGCAGACTCCCTGTCTCAAAAAATAAAGTGGAGAAGCAAGTGAGGATGGCATCCCAATCCTAGCGTCTGGTCTCCACATGTGGCCACACCTGCATGCACACATATGCACTCGTGTGTGCACCTCACACACATGCCTTCACACAAAGGCATTGCTGGTCATTTTTATCATTCAGATTATTTAAATTACTATAAGAGCTGTGCCAAGCTCTGTGCTTACCATCTTCCTGCATCATCTCATTCCACCATCAGGCCACTTTTTAAGATTTTACTTTATTATTTATACATATGTGTCTGTCATGGCCAGAAGAGGTTATCAGATCTCTTGGAGCTGGAATTCCAGGAGGTTAAGAACAGCCTTCTGTGGGTGCTGGGAACTGAACTAGGCTCCTCTGAAGAGCAGTAGAGTCTCTTAACTGCTAATCTATCTCTCCAGACCAATGAGGTCACTTCTGGAGGCAGAATGTCAGAATGGTGAGGTAAACTGAGGCCAGAGGACACCACAGTGAAGATTTTGCCTGAGAGTGACATGTAAGTAGTCACTGCTCATCTTGGCAGCTGGCCTTGTTGGCTCTACCTTCAAGAGGCAGAATGATTGCTTAATTTTACAAGTGCAGTAGCCCAGGGACTCGGAATTGCCTAAGCCCATAAAGCTAGTTCACCGCCGTGTTGAGGCCAGAACCAGCAGTCAGGAGGCCAAGGTTGAGAAGTAGCCAACATTCAGTGCCGTCCCCACAGTACCTGACCCCGTGGAAGCATGGTGGACATGGGACGGCACAACGGGCTGGAGAGGTATAACGTGTAGGTCTAGAAACGCACGCAGATGAAGAACCAAAGAATGCCTGTCCTCTCCCATCTCTCTGCCATCCCAGCCCCTTTCCCAGAGAGCCTAGCTTTTCCAGAGCCTGTGTATGTGCATTGTTGGTCTGTTTGTCTGCTCCTAAGTGTCTTTGCTCAAACAGAACGATCCTGGTCAATGAGTTACAGAAGGGGCTGGCTCTGGACCTGGAGAGAAGGCCCTACCACCAGCACCAGTTGTTGGCTTACATCTGTTTTAGTCCATCATTGTCTTAGCAGCTTACCTGTGAGCAATATGTTATATCTGTTATACAGATGAAGGATTGAGACTTAGAGAAGTTATTCATCCAAGGCACTCAGCAAATTGCTGCCGGAGCCAAGTGCTACACATTACTGTGACATCAGTAATGCTCCCTCTTCATTTCTTTGAGGGCTTGCTCTGAGGTTAACGCCCTTCTCTGTCTGCTTCCTCTCGATTCTCAGCTCCAAGATCTACATGGCCGACCTGGAATCCTCACTACATTACATCTTTCGTGTAGAAGTGGGAAAGTTCTCAGTTCTGGAGGGACCACGCCTACAGGCCCTGAAAAAGTTTATGGCGATATTGGCCAAGGTGAGGAGGGCCTCAGCTTGCTTTGTCTCTGTAGTTCCATATGTAGTTAGTGTGTGTTTCTGGAATCCATACGCCACACCAGCCTCTTTCTCGAGGAATTCATGTCTGACTGGACACCTGGACCCATAGCTGTCCAGGTCCCCCACAGGCTGCTACCTCCTCTCATAGCCATATTCTATATCAGCTCCCACATTGCCAGAGACCATGCCACCCTGTAGAGAGGGGAGAGACACGGTCGGATATCCCAGTGCCTGGGAATAGGCCCAGCCACCTGGTGACTTACTCTGCCTGCTTCCCTGACTTTCCACCTCACTTAAGCCCCAGACTGTGGCTTCTCACATCCTACCATGGTGCCTGGGGAAACGGGACTAGAGACCACCAGACTGAATAAGGGCGCTGTCTGCACTGCTTTCTTCTCTGTCTAACCCATAACCCTAGTGTTAACCCTGCACTGTGCTCCCGGCTTCTCGGAAAGGTGGCTGCTCCTTAGAGAGAAGCTCCCGGTTGTCAAAGACCTGACGTCTGAGAAGCATTTAGCCTCCTCACCTGCTTTGCAGAGTGGTAACCCCGCCATCTAAAGGGCCCAGGAGCTTAAGTAACTTGCCTTAGGGTTGCCAGCAGGACCAGACCCAAGGTCTGAGGCTTTGCCATGCAGAGCTGCGTTCCCTCTCCTCCCCACTCTAGTTTCCCATCCACAGCCAGCCTGCCCTGCTTTGCTGCTGAGTCAGGGCTGCCTGTCCCCTGGGCCTGTTTGCTGACTCAGCCTCCCTCAGTCCCAGCTGATCTGAGCCCGCCCTTCCCAGAAGGTCTGTGGGAACCTCCTGGTCTCTCCCTGTCTCGCCCATTCTGCTGCCATCCTGACCCTCTTGGCTTGGTGGCCTATGTGTCTGTACACAGAAGACCCTGTGAGGAATTTTGCAGGCAAGGCAGAGCCATTCCCATGATACAGACCTTGTTTCTGAGGCCTGCAGCCTGCAGCCCATAGTCCTGAGGCCTGGGGCAGATACTCTGTTGACCATAGGGAACAAATCCATAGATCGGTACTGTTTTTCTACCACTGCATTAAGGGAAAGCTCCTATGTGCTCCCCAACCCCTCCAGACCTCAATGAGAGGGACACCCCAGCCCAGATCAGTCTACTCCAAAGGAGTCCTCCCAAGCAGTGGTTTCTCCTGTGTTGCCTGCATCTGTTTGTAGCTGCAAACAATCTGGTATTTGTTTTGCACTGTGTGAAGCTGATTTGAGAGGAGACACAGAAAACATCAGGTTAGACAGAGGCCTGAACAGCACACTCCCAGTGGGACAGAAGAGGAGTATGGGAGGAAGGGGCCTTTCAGCTCGAGGCCAGGGCTCTCAGGGAAGACGGGATGGCAATGAAGCAGAGGACTTATGTGGATGTCCCACAGTGGGGGCAGGGTGACCTGGGACACAGGTGGAGAGGCTCTGTTTGACCTTTGTCTGCATGATGGACATGCTCTGCCCTACTTTCCTGTGGAGGAATGATAATCAAAGCTGCTCCCTTTTCTTGAGCTCTGGCAGGCTGGTAGTGCAGAGTACTGGTACTTGCTTATTTTCCCTTCAGTTCTGTGGATGTTGTCATCATCATATAGACGAGGAAATGACAGCCCAGAGATGTGAAGAACCTTGTCCAAGAGAAAAGTCACTCACATCTTATCTAGCCTCGCTGTGTTTCACAATGAACACTCAGGGGACACCCTGGAGTGAAGAGGGCTCCTCTGTCAGCCTGCCTTGTCACATGTGGGCAGCTATCAGGACTGGCCACTGGGTGGCATGTGGTCACCAAGGTTTCCCTGCTTCCTGTTGTCCAGAGCCCTTTAATTCATCCTTCCTCTGATGCATGGCCTCAGACAGCGGAAGGAAGGTGCCAAGTCAGGATGGCAGGCGGAGGTCAGTGAGAATGCTGACTTGGAGCTGTAATCAGTGTGTGGGCCCAGAGCTCCCAGGGGCTAACCAGGAGGAAGCACTCTGAAGCACAAGTCTTTCAGCCATGTTCCACTCTGGGGGATGGCCAGCCTGAGGTTTGGTAGGGACATTTAACGTCTTCTCAGAAGACAGTCTCAGGTAGCAGATTTCCCTGGTAGCATTCTTACATCCAGGATTCTTCTGTCAAATGGTTTTCGTCACATTTCTCAGGATCGTTGTCTCACAGCTTTCTTCTTCGTGGTTTTGTCTGCTCCTCTGCGGTATCCCCGCTTGTCCCCCACCCCCTCACACACTTGTACATGCACACATGTGCACATGTGCACATGTTCCCTCCTCCCTTGAGTCCTTGTGGTTTTAAAGTGCTGATACTAATCAGATTTGAGTTGACTTATTGTCAGAGTAGCTTTTCATGTTCCTCTGAGGCTCTTGGGAGTTACCATCAAGATTTGGATCTTGGCCCTAAGCCCTGAACTGGTCTATCTGCACTGGCGGCCCATGGGCTAAAAACAAAAGGTCTTTTGCCAGCCCATTACTAATGAAGGTTTCTCCTCAGTTTGGTTCTTGTCTTTTCAAAAGAAAGAACTGAGCCAAGAAACACTGACAGAAAAACAGTTTACCTAGCAAAAGCAAAGACGAGAGTGCACTCCAGGCAACTTGGAGTGGGTGTTCCACAGGGAGGCGGGTAGAAGCCCGCTGGGTCCTGCGTTAGGAATTTGAAAGATGTTTTATGGTCTTTTACCCCTCTTGTGATGTCATTGTAAAGTCCTTCCTCCTTTCATCTCACTGCTGAGAATGGCTCAAGCTGTCCCTGCAGCTTTTCCTTCCATGCTTATCAGGATGCTTATTGGTGGGCATGGGAAGGTGCCCTGGGATCCCAATTGCTGAGGAGCCCAACTGCTGCTCCAAGAGTGTTGGGCTGTAAAGGGGGGGGGGGGTTCTGAGCAGAAAACAGCCACCAGGATGCGGCTGCAGTTCTCCTCTATTACCCCATTTTAACCCCTTGCCTACTGCCCTTGAGCCTTGCTGGGCAATCCATTGCTCCATCAGAGGACCACCTGGAAAGAAGGTGTGTGCCCGGCGCTCACAGCAGTCCCAGGGAGTGGCATGGTGCTTGGACCTTCCTCAGAGTGGTTGGGTGTTACGTCAGCATTAGAGCTTGAGCCTTGGCGGAGACCCACAGAGCCTAGGAGACCCAGAGGCATTGCCTCCCCTCTGCCCAGAACAGGCTGTAGGAATCCACTTGTAGAATTGTTTTTTACTCTCAGTTGCCCCTTGTTCCCACCTGCAGTACTTCCCTGGTAAGCCTTTGGCCAAGAACTTCCTGCACTCCATAAATGACTGGCTTCACAGGCAGCCGAGAAAGACGATCCCCTACAGCTTCTTCAGAGCTGCTCTGGACAACAGGAACGAGGTGAGTCTGGAAGGCAAATAAAGAACCTCCCAATGGCCTAGCATTCACGGGACCGGAGGGACTTACGCAGAGATTGCTGACAGTGTTATCCAGCAGTTTGCATGAAGTTATTTCATTTATCATTAACGAGCTGCTCTTCATTGGGGTCTATAGAATGTCTCATCGACTCTTCATACCTTAGGATTTCCATTTAGCCGATGAAGAAAGCAGGTTTGAGCTGTTACATAACTTTTCTAGTCTAAGCCTCTCGTAGCTGTAAGTGATTGGGGCTAAAAACGAGGCGTGAGGCAGTGGAGTCCTATTTTAAAGATAGGGTTTTCCTCTGTATCAAAGGCTACTGACCTTGAAACTCACAGCAGTCCTCCTGCATCTGCTTCCCAAATGTGAAGATAATAGAGACCGAGGCATCACATTTATTTAAGACACCAGGATTCTTAACCATAGTTCTAGCAACTTCCTCGGCATGGCCCACAGCAGGGTACCTATTCTTTCTACTGTCAGCAAAAGCAAGCCACGCTCCATAGACATGCACAACCATGTGGGTTTTATGAGGTGCCATCAGCTCAGCACTGCTGGTTCAAAGACAGAACTTGGTCTATGGCATGGCTTCTCAGATCTGCTGCTCCTTTGGTGGGTAGAGGCGACAGAGAGGTGACAGTCCAGGAAGAGGCCCTCCTTTGCTGCAGTGCTGTGTGCGCCTGGAAACTCCTGTTGCCACCTCCCTTCCAACCCTTTCTCTTCTCTGCTGTGCGCTCATGTTCACATGTATTCCTTAGGGTTCCATTCTTACTGAGAAGGTGAACTGGGTTGGCTGCCAGGGCAGTAAGCCACAGTACCGGGGCTTTCCCTGTTCCCTGTGGGTCCTCTTCCACCTCCTGACTGTGCAGGCAAGTCAGTACAGTGAAGACCACCCACAGGACCCAGGTGAGTCCGGGGCTGCCCTCACTGCCCTCACACTCTTCTGTTAGTCTGTCCTCCGCGGGAGCCGGTTGGAATGATCCTATATTGGGGGCAACTGATGAGGGAGGGAGGGAGGGAGGGAGGGAGGGAGGGAGGGAGGGAGGGAGGGAGGGAGGGAGGGAGGAAGGAAGGGAGAAGGAAGGGAGGGAGGGAGGGAGGAAGGAAGGGGGGAGAGTTTGCAGGAATACAATTATGGAGCTGTTGAGAATGGCGAGGCAGAGTGACAAGGCCAGCTATAGTGGGGTGAGGGGCAGTTATACCTGGAGTGGGTACAGGAGGAATGGTTTGGGAGGCCAAGGAGATAAAAGCACAATGGTACAGGCATTGGCATTTTGAAGCAGAGAGTATGTGTGTACGTGAGTGTGTGAGCGTTCTCTGTGAGGTCCTGATGGATGGAGGTAGGAGGCTGCCTTCTAAAGGGTTGGAGGTGGCAGAGGAGGGAACATTTAGAATGGCAGGAAGCAAACCCTGAGGTATATGAAGTGTGAAGGAGACAAGAGATATGGAAAGTGAGGGTGGGGATACCTTCAGGAGAGTCTGGCTTCAATTAGAGAAAAAGCAAGAGAGTCAAGAGAGACCCTTGCTGTGGCAGCCTGTATGAGGGGACCAGAGTGAGAATACTCAGCAGCCGTGAAGAGAAGTTAGCTTTCAGACCAGCTCAGGATGGACTTCTAAGAGTGCCCCAGACAGGCAAGGCCCACTGGGAGGAGGATCATGGGGGCTAGAAAGAGTGCTGTATCCCTTCCAGTCATGTCACATAAAGCCCAGATGTCCCTCTGAAGAAGGTGATGATGATGAGGGCCTGAGAGGAGGAACTGACCTTTAGGAGCTTTGGAGGAAACGGGACCACCTCGGTAGTGCCTCCTGCAGGCAGACGTAGGCAAGGGCAATGTGGTGCACTTGTACAGGGTGACCCCAGTGGAGTGGAGGACAGGGCAGCCTGTAGGGAACCATGCTGGAGACAGCAAACGCTGGCATCATGAAGGACTTCGTGTGGGGTCTCTTCCCTACAGCTGATGGCCAGGAAGTCCTCCAAGCCATGAGGAACTATATTCAGTTCTTCTTTGGTTGCCGAGACTGTGCGGACCATTTCGAGCAGATGGCTGCTGCCTCCATGCACCGGGTGAAAACTCACAGCAGTGCAGTTCTCTGGCTCTGGACCAGCCACAACAAGGTTAATGCCCGCCTCTCAGGTACGGAAGGGCGACTTCCAAGACTAGAGGTGGCATTTGGGGGGCATTCTCACTATCTCTTCAGTGACAGCCTATGCTTCTTCCACATTATCTGCCAGCCCTGTTAACCAGTCCCATGTCTAGGGGGAACAGATGGGACACCGTCTGACTGTGGTGTTTAATACCAGGGCTCTCTCTAGCTTCTTAGAATCTCTCCTGCCTCCCCCGCTCTGCTTTCTGGCTATGAGTCTCTTACTCGGGAACCGGGAGGAGAGAGGAGGGGTTTTCCTTTGTCATCAGAGAGTGGGCTGCAGAGAGGGGCAGGGAGCTTGTCATCCTAGTTACCCTTATTTGCATTGTTTGCCTTCCCCCTGTATGTGGGAGCACAGTGGGTCCTACAGGCAGCCCGAGGAAGCCGTCTGTAAACTGGATACTACATGTCTGGAGAGCAAGAAGTGCCTCCCAGACAGCCCTCCGAGGCCAGGAGTGGGTGGACCGCATGGGCTGCAGCCTGCACGGTTCCCTCTCCAGGAGCCTGCTAGTGCCTATTAAAGGAAGACGTGTCCACCTTCCCTGGGGGCCAGCTGGCCTCTTCCCCTTCCCTTGCCTCAGCTCTGCCACCAAATGCTGCAGTGGCTGTCACGCTGTGAGCCAGAACTGTACAGATTGGTCCAGGAGGTGTTTGAGCTTGGGCCAGCCCTGGAGATTGAACCTAGGGTCTGGCTCACTGAACTATGCCCCCAGAGTGTCCTCTGTCTTCTCTTTTTTGAGGCAGAGGCCCAGGCTGGCCTTGAATGTGTGATCCTACCTCATCCCCTGAGTGGTAGGGAATACAGTCCTGCACCACCAGGCCCAGCTGCATGCTAGTCTTGTTTTTGCTCTGTATCTGTATTTTATCTTCCAGCCTTTTAAAGGCTTGGTGAGCCGGTTTTAGATGAAAAAGCTGGTGTTCCGAACAAAAGAAACCTGAGCTCCTAGGCAGACCAGATATTACAACCAAACTGTGTGTGCTCCCCTTCCCAGGTGCTCCGAGTGAGGACCCGCACTTCCCCAAGGTGCAGTGGCCTCCCCGTGAACTGTGTTCTACTTGCCATAATGAAGTCAACGGACAAGTGCCTGTGTGGGACCTAGATGCCACCCTCAAGTTTCTCAAGATTCACTTCTCCCCAGCAAACATCATCTTCGACTCTCCTACATATATGCCAGCAGCCCAGAGGAGTCCTCAAAATCTGGAAGCTACCCCAGAGCCGGTAATGGATGCATTAGAACTGGAGACCAGAAATTCAACGCTGGGCCGTGAGTGGGCTGCTTCTACGGAGTCCCTTGGAGCTACTGCCCTAGATGTCCCAGCTGAGAAGCCTGAAGCAAGTGGTCCCCAGGTGCTATACACAGGCCTCAGAATGAGTGGAGCTCCAGCAGGGCAGGGCCCTCCTGAGCGTTTAGAAGAGTGGCAGGGGGTTACCCAGGGGCAGCAACACCTGAGCAAGAGAGACACCAAGGCCTTCCTGCTGCCTGAGGCGAGCCGTCTCCAAGGCCCTTTAGAGCTAAGGCAAGGAGGCCGCAGCCCCAAGCAGCTAGCCAGCATACCTGAAGGAGGGCCCGAGGCCCGAGCTGTACAGGGTCAAGGCCCGTGGTTACAGGTTCTGGGCGGGGGTTTTTCCCACCTGGACATTAGCCTCTGTGTAGGGCTCTACTCTGTGTCCTTCATGGGCTTACTAGCCATGTACACCTACTTCCGGGCCAGGATGAGGACCCTGAAGGGCCACCTAGTCACCCCATAGCCTAGGCTGTCCAGGAAGAGAGCAGGAAATGAAGCTGCCATCCATACAGCATTTTTGTCCCCTGTCACCCTTGGTCTCCTCTCTCCTCTGTTCCAGTTTCTAGCTTAGGAGAGTAGCAAGTCCAAGGAAGCTAGTTGTTGTAGTGACCCCCTTGAGTCTGCTGTGGAGGGTCCATAGACAAGACAGAAACAGGGTTCTAGTGTCACCTGACCAGCCTGGGGCAGGGGCAGCCCAAAGTGCAGGGGTGGGGTTCTGGGAGACTCAGACCCTGGCTTCAGCATCACACTCCTGTTTTTCAGCATATGTGAAGTCCTGACCCGTTTCCGCTGAAGTCTCAATGTTTCCTGCTTGGTCTTGGCCTTAAATTGAGGTAGACAAGTCCAGAGTTTCCATCCAGAAGAGAGGATCCTGGGCTGGGTGGGCTGGCGTGGACCTCCTCACTGCATTCTGAGGCTGTCTCCTTCCCTCCCTCTCCACATGAAGAAAGTGCAGCATCACTTCCGGCCTAATCCAGCTCCAGCACCTCAGACCTGGGTGGGGTTTGGCTAAAGGAGTGGGTCTGGAAGCTTCCGGAAGTGACTCTGGTCTCCCAGGTTCAAACTAGAGTTTCTGCTGCAAGGGTATAGCTTGAGGTTGGTGGGGTTTGGCAGGCTGGGTGGATGACAGTGTCTGGGCTGTGGGGTGCAGTGCTTGCTTGGTGGCGGGACAAGGGGGTGGGTGACACTAGGGTCAGGATAGTCCTGTACTAACTGCAAGAGAGCATACTTCTCTCTGGGCTGGGGGCGCTTGTCTTTTATTTTGTCCTCTAAAAATCAACGCTAACTGTTGGCTGTGGAAGGTGCTGGCCTGAGCAGCTGAGGGGAGGGTTTCCCCTTGGGCTCCACTGTAGGCAGGTAGAGGAGGGAAGAGGCTGGTACACATGCTTCATCCACTCTCCCCCACTGGGAGGGGTGTGGAATAAAATTATTTTTGTTAAGTCACACATAGTGTGTATGACTTGATCCTTGGAGACCACGGCACAGCGTCCGGCCTCACCTGAGATCCAGGAGCGAAACTCCTGGGTACAGGGGCGGGCTCTCACCTTACTCCCTGTGCCCCAGGCATGGGTGCTGGCCCTGTCACCTGCTGCTCTCTACCCTCCCTGAGACCTGCCTGGGTGTCAGAGCAGCCTGTCTGCAGCTGCCACCGTTAGCTCTTCCTCCAGGACAGCCAGCCTGGGTTGACTGCTCAGCCACGAGGCGTCAGCCTGGATTAGACTTTGCCCCTAATCCAGCCTGCGGGGTTTTGCAGGGATCAGAGCAGCTGATAATGAACCTCATTAGGGGGGAGCAGAAGCCTCAATTCGATTTGGGGTTTTCTCTGACATCTTCACTTAGCTCAGATGGCCTCAGCATTGGGTGCAGCAGGTGGAATGCCAAGGACACCTCCTGTGCTGGGGCAGCTGGGGTGGGGGAGGTGCAGCTGGCAGGGCATTTGACCTCTTTAGCAGCCTGACTCTGAGGGTGGTTTCCCTCTCCCTCTGGGGGTCTGAACCCCACCCCATATCCTCCTTGGCTTTCCCTGCTAGATGCTGCTCAAGGGTCTGAGAGTGAACCACAGACGATCCCCACAAAATGTCAAGTAAAGATTGCTGTCAGCAAATGCTATACCCCTAGTAACCGTACTTCCCCAAGCAAACCTGGGTGTCTAGGATTGGGGCCCTCCTGGACATGCTGTTGCAGGCCCCTCCGCATCGGTCAGCCACAGGACTGAGAGCAGAGGCAGGCCCTGTGCCCGACCTTCTGATTGATAGGGAGGGTGGCCCTCCAGCCCTTTTACCTTAATTTCCCCAGGGCTCATGTCCATGGCGTGGATAAGTCAGCCTGCCCACCAGCTGGTCCCTTGCCCTGCTCATGCTGCCATCCTGGGATTGGGGTTTTCTGTGTCTTGGGTCTTTCTAGGCTGTTTGTCTGGGATGCTCTCTGACAGAAAGGCTTCTTCTGGGAGACCTGCAAAGCAAAGACTCCTGCTGCTGGATGGGAGAGAAACCCACCTGCCTGGCACTTCATATTCTAGGAGTTGAGGGTTTCCTATAAGTGACATCCAAGCTGGGCTTTGAAGGATGAAGTGCCACCAAAGAAAATATGAAAATGTGGGGCTGGAGAGATGGCCCAGTGGGTTAAATCATTGGCTGTTCTTCCAAAGAACCCGGGTTCAATTCCTAGCACCCACATCGCAGCTCGAACTGTCTGTAACTCCAGTTCCAGTGGATCTGACTCCCTCACACAGACATACATGCAAGCCAAATACCAACACACATAAAAAGTAAATAATACGAAAATGTACACTCAGAAGAGAAAGCACATACCCAGTCTAACAAAGAAAAATTGTTGCTATAAAACAAAATACAAAAATCAATATTATCTTTCTGTCAGGATTTCCTGTGCTGGGGTAGGCTAGAATCAGGACGCTAAAGAGGGCAGATGTGGTCCTTGATGTTACAGACTGAGGTGGGAGCAGGATCTAGGGATAACGAGCTCTGAAGGAGGGGAACTCAGCAGGCTTCTCCAGGCCCCACCAGAAGACCACATGAGAGCATATGTGTGTGTCATGTGACCTTGGCAGCATGTGGGGACACCCTCCAGGAAAGGGTTCTTTGCTAATGTTCTTGTCCTATTGAGTAGATATGCCCTGCCTGAGGCCCATAGGGAAGGGACTCTTGTCAGAAGGTGTTGAAGGTCACCAGGCAGCTGGGCATGACCTTTGGTGTCTACTTGTAGCCATCCGCTTCCCCATCACAAAAATGAGGCTGCACCTGCAGGCCCTCACCCAGGTCTTCCGATGCCTAGTGGTTTATTCACCAGCCCACGGCAAGTCCATGTGAGGGACTGCCCCTGCCCTGTTGACCCTCTGTATCAGATGCCTTTCTCAATAACATGACAGAATTCCCAACAGAAACAAGAGGGGGAAATGTTTGCCTCAGCCTCAATCCGTCCAGGTGGGAGAGCTGAGGAACAAGTGATGGGCTCCTCACGTTTTAGCAGACGAGGAAGCAGAGCTGCGGTTAGAAAGGGTTGTAACCCTTGGTGACCCATGTCTGTCAGCCAGGCCTTACATTCCAAAACAGCACCTCATCTGGGGACCAAATATACACATCCATGAGACTGGGGGCACTTCACACTCTGGCCACAGCCCCTCCTAAAGGATGTCTTGGCTGAAGGAAACCACAGCCTAGTTGTTTTGTATCCTGATGGAACTGCAGGACAGTTGGGAAAGGGGAACTCCCATATCAACACCAGGCAGGATCTCCACAAATCTGCCATAGTTGGCCTCGAGCTACCTGCCTGAATCTCCTCAGGTGTGGCTTTCCTGGCATCCCTACCCTCGTCACACTGCCAAATGCCTCTGCTGGAAGGCTGCTGCAGAGGCAGAAGGTAGGATTTCCACTCTGCTCGAAGAATGAGTAAAGTCCTGAGAACACTGTAATGTGCATGGTTGACCTCTCTGGAAGATCACTCTAGAAAGTGGGTTAACTGGCAGCTGCAGGTGTCTGAGGGCCAAGTCTTTTTGGTCCCCTTCACTGGCACCTGTCTAGGTTTCTTTGCCTGCTAAACCAGGAGGCACCAGTCATGGGTCACAGACAGAACTTCGAAATCACAAGGCACTGGCAGACAGCGGGGCTTAGGAGGGAGCTTGAGTGAGCAAGACTCTGTCATCTATGAACCTCATCTGGAGAAACTCACCTCCCAACCTGTGACCTCACCCCTGCAGAGAGCAATGAACTTTTCCCTAGACTGCCAGGCTCTTCTGGAGAAGAACTGACCTTGGGTGCTGCCTGCTGACCTTCCCAACCCTCCATGTCACCCCTGTGGCATGATTAGTCCTTACTGGAGTCTGTCAGGAAGCCTCCATCCACCACAGAAGCATGTCTCAGGCTTGGGAGAGACTGAACACTAATCCAACTTGAGTCTGCTTATGATGTCTCCATCAAGTTCCCAGCTATCTCAAAGTTTCTGATGGTCACAGAGTTTGGCCCTAAGAAGGGAAGAATTGTTCAGTCAATAATGCCAAGCATATCACTTGGAAAATTCAGCGAAGATCCTACTTTCATAGAAACACCAAAATAGACTTTTTTTATTGTTGTGGGTTTTTTTTGAGACAAGAGTTTTATGCATAGCCCTGGCTATCCCAGAACTCACTCTGTAGACCAGGCTGTCCTTGAACCCACAGAGATCTACCTGCCTCTGTCTCTTGAGTGCTGGGATGAAAGATGTACTGCCCAGTTTAAATTATATCTTAATCTAATGCAAAAAAGAAAGAAAATACAAATGTAGATTTAATGGGTTTAGATTTTAAATTATGCTTAACTGATAGTTAAAAACATAGCCAGATATGGAATCACACCTGTAATTGTAGCATTCAAGAGGCCAGAGGTAAAATGATAACAAATTCAAGGCCAGACTGAAACCCTGACCAAACAGGCTGCAGAGGTGGTTCAGTGTTAAGAGCTTGTATTAACTACCCTTGAAGAAGACTAGAGTTCAGTTCCCAGAACCCACAAACAGTGACTCACAACCACCTGTAACTCCAGCTCAGGCAACAGCCCTCACATGCCCACATCCCACACGGACACAGGAATAGATATAAAGAAAAACAAAAGTAAATCTGTTTTATAAAGCCTCAACAATAGCAACAAACCCAAAAACCATTTTAAAATTGTACATGCTGGAATGGGGAGCTGGTCAGTCAGCAAAGCGTTTGCCATGCAATCATGAGGACCCAAGTGCTGATCTCCAGAGCCACAGAAAGTCAGGCACAGCACGGTCCGGAATCACAGTGCTGGAGAAATGGATGGGTCCTCTGAGCTCATTGCCCAGCTCGTCTCCTGAACTAGGGGTAAGCTCAAGGTTCAGTGAGAGGGTCTCAAAATAAAAATAAGGTGGAGAATGATGGAGGAAGACACTGGCATCTTTACCTTCACCATGTGGTTCAGGCTTTGGTAGCAAATAGCATCTCTTGCTGGGCCATCTCTCTGGTGGAAGGAAAAGCATCTTTCTTGTCTTTGATGTTGCTCTCAAAAGCCTTTGATTTAAAGCACTAAACAACAGTGCTCCTCAAGCTCCGTGGTTCTTCAGGAATGTGCCACAGGAGTGTGGATTCTGTATTCAATAATCTTTATCTTTAAGTAACTAGTGTAAAACCCCATGACCTCAGGTACATAGCACACACGGTTACGTTTGCAAAGTCAAGTTCAAGCCTGACTCTGCAATTGACCATGAGAAAAAGACACTGGACAACCGCTAGTTCGTTTGAAAGAGCCAGCCAGCCACCTCTCCATGTCTTTCTAGAAACTGTCTAATTGCAACCTTTTGTAACTAAGTGGCCTCCTTGGTCATTGTGGAGTTGGCAAGGATACTAAAGGAGTAGTTGTTTAAAGCAGTCTGAGGCTGCTGCATACGAACAGCAGACTTCTTAAAGCTTCATTCACTAGAGCAACTGTGCTTAAATGCCCAGCAGAAGTGACAGACCTAGCCCCTGGAGTCAGAAGTTGGCTCTACAGGGTGATTGCAGGATAGCTCACCTGACAAACAGTGGCGACCAGTGCAGGAAGTCTTGGGAATATCAGAGCTCCTATAGGCTCCAGTTGAACTTTTTAAGATTTATTTATTATTTATTATGTATACAGTATGTCTACACACCAGAAGAGGGCACCAGATCTCATTACAGGTGGTTGTGAGCCACCATGTGATTGCTGGAAATTGAACTCAGGTCTCTGGAAAAGCAGTCAGTGCTCTTAACCTCTGAGCCATCTTTCCAGCCCCCAGTTGGACTTTCTTTGGACCACCAGTCCCCAAGTAATGACACGGATATTTATTAATTATGAAAGCTTGACCTTAGCTTAGGCTTGTTCCCAATAGCTCTTATAACTTAACCTGTTCCTATTAATCTACATTCTGCCACATGGATTTTTACCTCTCCTTCATTCCTGTATGTCTGACTC